GGTGGATTTTTTGGGGGATTTTTTTGGGATTTGGGATATTTTCGGGAACCCTCACCGGTTGGAGATGACGATGGCGTCGTTGAACTCGGAGCGGCAGTTCTGCCGGGATTTGGGGTTGGGTTTTGGGGATTTTAACGGGATTTTTTTTGGGATTTCACAATTTCGGTGCTCCTGGGTGGATTTTTTTGGGATTTGGGATATTTTTGGGAACCCTCACAGGTTGGAGATGACGATGGCGTTGTTGAACTCGGAGCGGCCGCTCTACCATGGTTTGGGGGATTTTAATGGGATTTTTTTTGGGATTTCACAATTTCGGTGCTCCTGGGTGGATTTTTTGTGGGATTTTTTTGGGATTTGGGATATTTCGGGAACCCTCACCGGTTGGAGATGATGATGGCGTCGTTGAACTCGGAGCGGCAGTTCTGGCGCAGCGCCGGGGTTTGGTTTGGGGTTGGGATTGGGGGATTTTTTTGGGATTTCATAATTTCGGTGCTCCGGGGTGGATTTTTTGGGGGATTTTTTTGGGATTTGGGATATTTCCGGGCTGCTCACCGGTTGGAGATGACGATGGCGTCGTTGAACTCGGAGCGGCAGTTCTGGCGCAGCGCGGTGCGGCCGCCGTTGGTGATGACGGCGTTGGCGCCGTGCAGCCGGTGGAAGCGCAGGTCGCTCGGGGACGCGCCCGGGGACGCGCCCTCGGGGCTGCCACCGCCGCTGTCACCCTCCGAGCCGTCCCCGCCCAGCGCTGCCACCTCTGGGGACACGCGGCGGGGCTCGGCGACGGCCCCCGTGTCCCCCGGGGTCCCACAGTGTCCCCAATGTCCCACAGTGTCCCCAATGTCCCCAGTGTCCCCAATGTCCCCAGTGTTCTCCATGTCCCCAAATGTCCCCATGTGCCTGGTGTCCCCAATGTCCCCATGTCCCCAATGTCCTGTGTTCTCCATGTCCCCAACGTCCCCAGATGACCCCATGACCCCCAGTGTCCCCAGATGTTCTCCATGTCCCCAATGTCCCCAATGTCCCGTGTCCCCCAGTGTCCCCCAGTGACCCCCAGTGTCCCCCAGTGTCCCCCAGTGACCCCAATGTCCCCCAATGTCCCCATGCCCCCAATGTCCCCAGTGTTCTCCATGTCCCCAACGTCCCCATGTGCCTGGTGTCCCCAATGTCCCACAGTGTCCCCAATGTCCCACAGTGTCCCCAATGTTCTACATGTCCCCAGTGTCCCCAATGTCCCACAGTGTCCCCAGTGTCCCCAATGTCCCCTAATGTCCCCAGTGTTCTCCATGTCCCCAACGTCCCCAATGTCTCCAATGTCCCCATGTGCCTGGTGTCCCCAATGTCCCCATGCCCCCAATGTCCCCAGTGTTCTCCATGTCCCCAACGTCCCCATGTGCCTGGTGTCCCCAATGTCCCCAGTGTCCCCAGTGTCCTCCAAGATCTTTTGCGACCCAAAACACCAAATCCCCACAATGTCCCCAATGTCCCCAAAGTCTCCAGTGGCTCCAATGTCCCCAATGTCCCCAAGGTTTCCAATAATCCAAATCTCCCAATGTCCCCAAATGTCCCCAGAGGTGCCACCCACCTCTTTTGTCCACAATGGTGGCCTGTGCCACCTGCCCGTACAGGTCCTGACCCCAATGTCCCAAATCTCTCAATGTCCCTGATGTCCCCAATGTCCCCAATCCCCCCAAATGTCCCCAATGTCCTCAAAGTCTCCAATAATCCAAATCCCCCTCAATGTCCCCAATGTCCCCAACACCCCCGATGTCCCCAATGTCCTCAATGCCCCCAACACCCCCGTTCCCAATCTCCCAGATGTCCCCAATGTCCCAAACCCCCCAGTGTCCCCAACATCTCTAATGTCCCCAATATCCCAAATAACCCCAATGTCCCCAACGTCCCCAGAGGTGGCACCCACCTCCCTCGTCCACGATGGTGGCCTGTGCCGCCTGCCCGTACAGGTCCACCACGGCGTAGACGTTGGGGGGGACGTTCCAGGCGGCGGGGCCCTGGGGGACCCCGTTGACGAAGAAGTGCAGGGTCCCGTCGTCCCTGCGCACCACGCCCACCGTGTCCCCCGCCTGCGGGGACAGCGTCACCACCAGCTGGCCGCGGTGGCCACGGTGGCCATGGTGGCCGTGGTGGCCGTGGTGGCCATGGTGGCCATGGTAGCTGTGGTGGCCGTGGTGGCCATGGTGGCTGTGGTAGCTGTGGTGACCATGGTGGCCGTGGTGGCTGTGGTAGCTGTGGTGGCCGTGGTGGCCATGGTGGCCGTGGTGGCCATGGTGGCCATGGTGGCCATGGTGGCCGTGGTAGCTGTGGTGGCCGTGGTGGCCATGGTGGCCGTGGTAGCTGTGGTGGCCGTGGTAGCTGTGGTGACCATGGTGGCCATGGTGGCCGTGGTAGCTGTGGTGACCATGGTGGCCGTGGTGGCCGTGGTGGCCGTGGTGGCCATGGTGGCCGTGGTGGCCATGGTGGCCGTGGTAGCTGTGGTGACCATGGTGGCCATGGTGGCCGTGGTAGCTGTGGTGGCCGTGGTGGCCGTGGTGGCCGTGGTGGCTGTGGTGGCCGTGGTAGCTGTGGTGACCATGGTGGCCGTGGTGGCCGTGGTAGCTGTGGTGGCCGTGGTAGCTGTGGTGACCATGGTGGCCATGGTGGCCGTGGTAGCTGTGGTGGCCATGGTGACCATGGTGGTCGTGGTGGCCATGGTGGCCATGGTGGCCATGGTGGCCATGGTGGCCGTGGTGGCCATGGTGGCCTCACCTTGAGGCGGTCCAGGTTGTGGCCGTACTCGTCCAGCACGGTGGTGCCGTTGTGCATGACCCCATTGCCGGTCATCATCCACGTGCCTGGGGACAGTGGGGACATTTGGGGACATTGGGGACATTGGGGGATTAGGGACACTGGGGACATTGGGGATATTGAGAACGTTGAGGACATTGGGGACATTGAGGACATTGGGGACACTGGGAAACATTGAGGACATTGGGGACACTGGGGACATTGGGGATGTTGAGGACATCAGTCGTGGACTGGGACTGGTCACTGAAATGTCACCTCTGGGAAACAGGGATGTCACCTTAGGGACACAGGTGACACACCTGAGCGCAGGTTGGTCACGGTGGGGTTGGGATGGTGACACTGAGGTGACACAGGTGACACTGAGGTGACACGGGTGACACACCTGAGCACAGGTTGGTCATGGTGGGGTTGGGATGGTGACACTGAGGTGGCACAGGTGACACGGGTGACACACCTGAGCACAGGTTGGTCACGGTGGGGTTGGGATGGTGACACTGAGGTGGCACAGGTGACACGGGTGACACACCTGAGCACAGGTTGGTCACGGTGGGGTTGGGATGGTGACACTGAGGTGGCACAGGTGACACGGGTGACACACCTGAGCGCAGGTTGGGCACGGTGGGGTTGGGATGGTGACACTGAGGTGGCACAGGTGACACGGGTGACACACCTGAGCGCAGGTTGAGCATGGTGGGGTTGGGATGGTGGCACTGAGGTGACACTGAGGTGGCACAGGTGACACGGGTGACACAGGTGACACACCTGAGCGCAGGTTGGTCATGGTGGAGGGCAGCTGCAGGTAGGCCGGGTTGTGGGTGGTGACGCCGATCTCGATGGACCCCGCCCACTTGTCCACCATCTTGTCCAGCCGCACCTGGAAGAGCTCGTTGTCCCCGAGGGGCCGCGCGCTCAGCACCACGCCGTGGTTGAAGTCATCGGTGGCACTGGGGACATTGTGGACATCAGGGACATCGGGGACATTGGGGATGTCAGGGACGTTGGGACATTGAGGACATTGTGGACATCAGGGACATCGGGGACATTGGGGATGTCAGGGACGTTGGGACATTGAGGACATTGAGGACATCAGGGACGTCGTGTGTCCCTCACTGACCACGATGTCCCCAACACCTACAATGTCCCCAGTGTCCCCACCATCCCCGTGGTCACTCACTGCGGCCACAGCGCCGTCTGGCCCACATTGACCTCAATGTCCCCACTGTCCCCCTGTTCACCCCAGTGTCCCCAATGTCCCCAATCCCCATAATGTCCCCACGTCCCTGTGGTCACTCACTGTGGCTGCAACGCCGTCCGGCCCTGGTAGACCCCAATGTCCCCAATGTCCCCAATGTCCCCAATGTCCCCCTGCTCTCCCCAGTCCCCCCAATGTCCCCAATGTCCCCCTGCTTTCCCCAATGTCCCCAATGTCCCCATGGTCACTCACCGTGGCTGCAGCACTGTCCGGCCCTGGTTGACCCCAATGTCCCAACGTTCCCAATGTCCCCCTGCTCTTCCCAGTCCCCCCAGTGTCCCCAATGTCCCCAGTGTCCCCAACATCCCCAGTGTCCCCAATGTCCCCAGTGTCCCCAACATCCCCAGTGTCCCCAATGTCCCCAATCCCCATAATGTCCCCACGTCCCCGTGGTCACTCACTGTGGCTGCAGCGCCGTCTGGCCCTGGTAGACCCCAATGTCCCCAATGTCCCCAGTGTCCCCCTGCTTATCCCAATGTCCCCAATCCCCACAATGTCCCCAACATCCTCAACGTCCCCAATGTCCCCCTGCTCTTCCCAATCCCCCCAATGTCCCCAAACCCGGTGTCCCTCTGTTCACCCCAGTGTCCCCATTGTCCCCAATCCCCCCAATGTCCCCAATGTCCCCAATGTCCCCAATGTCCCCAATGTCCCCCTGCTCTCCCCAGTCCCCCCAGTGTCCCCAGTGTCCCCCTGCTCACCCCAATGTCCCCAATGTCCCCATGGTCACTCACTGTGGCTGCAGCGCTGTCTGGCCCTGGTTGACCCCAATGTCCCCAACGTTCCCAATGTCCCCCTGCTCACCCCAGTGTCTCCAATGTCCCCAGTGTCCCCAACATCCCCAATGTCCCCAGTCCCCCCAATGTCCCCATGTCCCCGCGGTCATTCACTGTGGCCGCAGCGCCATCCGGCCCTGGTAGACTCCAGTGTCCCCAATGTCCCCAATGTCCCCCTGCTCACCCCAATGTCCCCAGTGTCCCCCTGCTCTCCCCAGTCCCCCCAATGTCCCCATGTCCCCGCGGTCACTCACTGCGGCCGCAGCACCGTCCGGTCCTCGTTGACTCCAGTGTCCTCAATGTCCCCTTGCTCTCCCCAGTGTCTCCCATGTCCCCAGTGTCCCCAATGTCCCCAGTGTCCCCAGTCCCCCCAATGTCCCCATGTCCCCGCGGTCACTCACTGTGGCCGCAGCGCCTTCCGGCCCTGGTAGACTCCAGTGTCCCCAATGTCCCCAATGTCCCCAATGTCCCCCTGCTCACCCCAATGTCCCCAGTGTCCCCCTGCTCTCCCCAGTCTCCCCAATGTCCCCAGTGTCCCCAATCCCCATAATGTCCCCATGTCCCCGCAGTCACTCACTGCGGCCGCAGCGCCGTCCGGCCCTCGTTGACCACGGCCGCCTTCTGGCCGCAGTTGGGGTGGAAGAGGAGCCGCGGCGGCGCCGCGGTGGCCGCGCCGGTGGCCGCGGCGGCGCCGGCGCGGTGGCGCGGCGTCCCCGCCGTGCCCTCGGGGGACAGGGCGCGCAGGATGGCGTTGTTGCGGCGCAGGCGGTCGCTGTGGTTGTGGTTGTGCACGATGGTCACCTTGACGGCCATCCCGTACAGGTCCACCACGCCGTACACCACCTGCGGCGTCAGCGAGGTGGCCACGCCTGCGGGAGGGACAGTGGGGACACCTCGGGGACATGGGGACGGCAGGGACACGGTGGTGGCACCAGGGACACGGGGACATGGCGGTGGCATCAAGGACATGGGGACACAGGGACACGGTGGTGGCACCAGGGACACCAGGGACAGCAGGGACACGGTGGTGGCACCAGGGACACAGGGACACCACGGGGACAGCAGGGACACGGTGGTGGCACCAGGGACACCATGGGGACAGCAGGGACACGGTGGTGGCACCAGGGACACGGGGACACCACGGGGACAGCAGGGACACGGTGGTGGCACCAGGGGCACGGGGACATGGCAGTGGCACTGGGGACATGGGGACATGGGGGTGGCACCAGGGACACGGGGACACCATGGTGACAGCAGGGACACGGTGGTGGCACCAGGGACACGGGGACACCACGGGGACAGCAGGGACACGGTGGTGGCACCAGGGACACCAGGGACAGCAGGGACACAGTGGTGGCACCAGGGACACGGGGACACCATGGGGACAGCAGGGACACGGTGGTGGCACCAGGGACACCATGGGGACAGCAGGGACACGGTGGTGGCACCAGGGACACGGGGACACGGCCATCCCGTACAGGGCCACCATGCCAAGGTGTCAGCAAGGTGGCCACACCTGTGGAAGGGACAGTGGGGACACCTCGGGGACACCAGGGACAGCAGGGACACGGTGGTGGCACCAGGGACACGGGGACAGCGGGGACATGGCAGTGGTGGCACTGGGGACAGGGTGGGGACAATCATGGAGACACCAGAGTGGTGGCACTGGGGACAGGGTGGGGACAATCATGGAGACACCAGAGTGGTGACACTGGGGACAGGGTGGGGATAGCCATGGGGACACAGTGGTGGTGGCACCAGGGACACGGTGGGGACAGTGGGGACATGGCGATGGTGGCACCAGGGACACGGTGGGGACACGGTGGTGGTGGCACTGGGGACACGGTGGGGACAGTGGGGACACGGTGATGGTGGCACCGGGGACACAGCGGGGACAGCCATGGGGACACAGTGGTGGTGGCACCGGGGACATGGTGGGGACACCGCAGTGGTGGCACCAGGGACAGGGTGGGGACAGTGGGGACATGGCGATGGTGGCACTGGGGACACGGTGGGGACACGGTGGTGGTGGCACCGGGGACATGGTGGGGACACGGTGGGGACAGTGGGGACACGGCGATGGTGGCACCAGGGACACGGTGGGGACACCGCAGTGGTGGCACTGGGGACAGTGGGGACATGGTGATGGTGGCACCGGGGACAGGGTGGGGACAGTGGGGACCCGAAAGGGCCCAGACTGGGGTCGGGCTTGGGGAAATTTGGGGTTTTTGGGGTCAGTCCTGGGATCTCAATTCGGGGTGGGTTTTGGGGGGATTTTGGGGTGAATTTGGGGGTTTTGGGGGTGACTTTGAGGGGTTTTGGGGTCAGTTCTGGGATCCCGGTTCGGGGTGGATTTTGGGGGGATTTGGGGGATTTTGGGGGATTTTGGGGGATTTTGGGGGGATTTTGGGGTGCATTTGGGGGGTTTTGGAGGGTTTTGGGGTCAGTTCAGGGATCCCGGTTCAGGATAGGTTTTAGGGGAATTTGGGGTGACTCTGGCGGATTTTGGGGTGACTTTGAGGGGATTTGGGGTCAGTTCTGAGTTCCCAGTTTAGGATGGATTTGGGGGATTTTGGGGTCAGGTCTGGGATCCCGGTTCGGGGTGGATTTTGGGGGATTTTGGGGGGATTTTGGGGTGAATTTGGGGTGAATTTGGGGGGTTTTGGGGTCAGTTTTAGGATCCCGGTTCGAGATTGGTTTTGGGGGATTTTGGGGTGATTTTGGGGTGACTCTGGGGGATTTTTGGGGTCAGTTCTGGGATCCCGGTTCGAGATTGGTTTTGGGGGATTTTGGGGTGATTTTGGGGTGACTCTGGGGGATTTTGGGGCCCCACCTTGGTCCACGCCGTTGATGTAGAAGTGCAGAGCGTTGTTGGCCTTGCGGGTCAGCCCGATGTGATCACCCTCCTGCGGGACCCCAAAACCTCCAAATTCACCCCAAAATTGCCGAGATCCACCCCAAAACTGCCCAAATTCACCCCAAAATTGCTGAAATCTACCCCAAAACCGCCCAAATTCACCCCAAACCCCCCAAATTCACACCAAACCTGCCCAAATTCACCCCAAAAAACCCCAAATTCATCCCAAACTGGGAACCCAGAACTGACCCCAAATAAACCCCCCAAAACCACCCCAGAAACCCCAAATTCACCCCAAACCTGCCCAAATTCAACCCAAAACCGCCCAAATCCACCCCAAAACCGCCCAAATTCACCCCGAAACTGCCCCCATGGCCCCCAAATTCACCCCAAAAACTCCAAATTCACCCCAGAAACCCCAAATTCACCCCAAAACTGCCCAAATCCACCCCAAAACCTCTGGAGCAAATTTTGGGGGTCCCATGGGTGAATTTTGGGTGGATTTTGGGGTTCAAAATGAGAAACTCACGGTGTGAAATAATTCAAATTTCTGCAACACCAGGGACGGTTTTGGGGGATTTTTGGGATTTTGGGGTGTCTGGGCCCCCCCCCCCCAATTTTGGGGTGCCCAGAGCAGATTTTGGGGGTCCCGTGGGTGGATTTTGGGTGGATTTTGGGGGTTTTTGGGTCACCTGCAGCTCGTCCAGGCTGAACTCGCAGTACTCCCGGCGCGTCCCTTTGCCGTTGGTCAGGATCCCACAGCCGCTCATCATGATCGTCCCTGCGGCCAAATTTGGGATTTCCAGGGAATTTTGGGGCATTCCCAGAGATTTTGGGGCGTTTCCGGGAAATTTTGGGGGATTTTCCAGAAATTTTGGGGCATTTTCCAGAGATTTTGGGGGATTGTCCAAAGATTTTGAGGCATTTTCCAGAAATTCTGTGGGACTGTCCAGAGATTTTGGGCCATTTTTGGGGGATTTCTGGAAATTTTTCGAGATATTTCCTGGAATTTTTGGGTTATTTCCCCAGGATTTTTTGGCTATTTCCCGGTTTTTGGGTGATTTTTTTCCGGGATTTTTGGGTGATTTTTCCCAGGATTTTTGGGTGATTTTTCCCAGGATTTCTGGGTGAATTTTCCCAGAATTTTGGGGGGATTTTCCCCCAGATTTATGGGATGTTTTTCCAGGAATTTTGGGTGATTTTTTCCGGGATTTTTGGGTGATTTTTTCTGGGATTTTTTGGGTGATTTTTCCGTGATTTTTGGGTGATTTTTCCCAGGATTTTTTTGGCTATTTCCCCAGAATTTCGGGGATGTTTTCCCAGAATTTCAGGGATGCTTTCCAGGATTTTTGGGTGATTTTTTCCGGGATTTTTGGGTGATTTTCCCCAGATTTTTGGGTGATTTTTTCCGGGATTTTTGGGTGATTTTCCCCAGGATTTTTTTGGCTATTTCCCCAGAACTTCGGGGATGCTTTGCCGGATTTTTGGGGTGATTTTGCCCGGATTTGGGTCTCACCTGAGCGCAGGTTGGTCATGGTGGCCGGGTACTCGAGGCTGTTGGGGTTGTGGGCGGTGACCCCGATCTCGATGGACCCCGACCATTTGTCCACCAGTTTGTCGATGCGGATCTGGGGGGGCAGCGGGTCAGGGCACCCCAAAACACAAAAAAAAAAATCCACAAAAAACCCCCAAAATAACCCCAAAAATCCCCCCAAAAAATATCTAAACAAAAATCCCAAAAAATAAAAAAAAATCCCCCAAAAAATCCCAAGAAAAATCCAAAAATGTCCTCAAAAAAATCCTCAGCAAAACTAAAAAAAAAAAAAAAAAATCTAAAAAAATTCCCAGGAAATACCCCCAAAAATGTAAAAAAAATCCAAAACGATCCCCAAAAAATTACCCAAAAACATCCCAAAGAAATAAAAAAAAAATTTGCCAAAAATCCCAAATGCTCCCCAAAAAATATCAAAAAAGCCCCAAAAAAATCTCAAAAAAATCTCCCAAAAAATCAAAAATATCCCCAAAACATCTCAAAAAATCCCAAATGATCCTCTAAAAACCTCAAATAAATCTCAAATAAATGTCAAACAAATCCCAAATTATCCCCTAAAAATCCCAAATAAATCTCAGAAAATCCCAAAAAAATCCCCCAAAATATCCAAAAAAAGGCAAAAAAAATCTCAAAAAAATCTCCAAAAAATCCCAAAAAAATCCCAAAAAATTCCCCAAAAATATCCCCAAATCCCCCGTGTCACCTCGAACATCTCCTCGTCCCTCAGGGGCCGGTTGGTGAGCACGACGCCGTTGTTGAACTCGTCCAGCGGCCAAAATACCCCCAAAAACCACCCAAAAACCCAAATAAAAATCCCAAAAAATCCCCAAAAAATCCCAAAAAATCCCCAAAAACCCCGAATTTGGTGTCACACCTCGAACATCTCCCCGTCGCGCAGGGGCCGGTTGGTGAGCACGACGCCGTTGTTGAACTCGTCGAGCGGCCAAAATACCCCCAAAACCCACCCAAAATCCCAAAAAATCCCCAAAAATCCCCAAAAATCCCCAAAAAAACCCCGAATTTGGTGTCCCACCTCGAACATCTCCCCGTCCCTCAGGGGCCGGTTGGTGAGCACGACGCCGTTGTTGAACTCGTCCAGCGGGCAAAATACCCCCAAAAACCACCCAAAAACCCAAATAAAAATCCCAAAAAATCCCCAAAAATCCCAAATAAACCCCGAATTTGGTGTCACACCTCGAACATCTCGCCGTCCCTCAGGGGCCGGTTGGTGAGCACGACGCCGTTGTTGAACTCGTCGAGCGGCCAAAATACCCCCAAAAACCACCCAAAAACCCAAATAAAAACCCCAAAAAATTCCCCAAAAATGTAAAAAATCCCCCAAAAATCCCAAAAACTCCCAAAAAATCCCCGAATTTGGTGTCCCACCTCGAACATCTCGCCGTCGCGCAGGGGCCGGTTGGTGAGCACGACGCCGTTGTTGAACTCGTCGAGCGGGCAAAATACCCCCAAAAACCACCCAAAAACCCAAATAAAAATCCCAAAAAATCCCAAAAAATCCCCAAAAACCCCGAATTTGGTGTCCCACCTCGAACATCTCCCCGTCCCGCAGGGGCCGGTTGGTGAGCACGACGCCGTTGTTGAACTCGTCGAGCGGGCGCCGCCGCTCGGCCGTCTTGTGCCCGTTGCTGAGTTTGATCAGGGCCCCGCACTTCTCGTGGAACAGCAGCGCCTCGTTGGTGGGGCAGCGCCCTGGGGA